TAGGGATTTATAACTTATAAAAAAATAAATAAATAAAAAAAAAAGTAACATTTGTAAAAGGGATAGTAGATAAAAATAATAGGTTATGTAAAAATTAATATAAAATTCATACCTTTATGTGAATGACATATATATGTAATGTACCTTGTATTTTTAACCCGTTGACATATCTAAAATCTTGAAAATAGCATATTTAGAGATTAAAATATTTTAGCAATATGTGATTTAAAAATAGAGATAGTAATAATAGTAAATATAATTTCTTCATAAATGGGTTGATCTAAAGAATATAAAAATAGACCTAACTATGAGACTTATTCTATAGTTACATTTATTTTGTTTAAAAAAAAATGTAGGCCTACCTACTTATTTTAGGAAAAATATGTATGCCTAAAGGTAAATGTCTTAGCCATAAATAATTTCTAAAGGTAATTGATTTAGCCTTTAAACTAGTTTCAAATTTATTTGGAGGTCTTAGGCGATGAGTAGGCCTAAGTGAGGGTCGATAAGTAAAGCCAATAAATATTTTAGTCCTTCTGGAAATAAATAATTTAAGCCGGATAACAATAATTCTAACAAATAGATATTTGTTTTACCCTCTTAAAATAGTGCACTTCTTCCTTTCAAAAGTGCATTTAGAGCACTTTTTGGGACCCCCAAACTAATACACCTTTCAAATCTCAAAGTGTAGCGTTTTCATATACATATATATATATTTCAACATGCATTCCTTTTACTTTTGCACTAAAAAATCTGCACTCTAGGTCTTTGAAAAGTAGCATTTTCTATGTTAAGAGAAAACCACATTTTATACATACAAAATCTGCATTGTAAAAGGTGTTAAAAGGGGAAGGCTAATCTCTCCAAGCTTGCATTTTTACCAAAAATCTGCATTTTTCCTTTCAACTTTAAAATCATCGTTTTTAGTTGGTTTGTACAAACCCGAACACAAATAGAAGCAAACATAAATACAAATACAAAATATTAATATGGAAAATGTTAGTCAAAAATAGCAACACATGTATGTTTATAAAGAAAATGAAACTTTGAATTGAGAAAGGAGTGTTGGACACTATTGACACAATGGGGCTGCTAGACACAAGCGATAATGTAGGCTGTCATTCGCTTCTCTGATTTGGACAAAGACGGAGTTATATCACAACTCCAAACACGCTCTCTTGTGTAGAGCAGCAAACAAGAGCTTCGACGTCAAAAAAAATTTCAACTTCGAATTTGAACTTCGACTCGAAGAAGAACGAAAACAGTCTCGTGGGATTGTTGTTGGGTCTTTTTTTTCAACCGATTCTTGAATGTTTTTAACTGATTTCGGGATCCTTTTTTTTTTTTATCGATTCTTAGATTTTGTTACTTGTTTTTCTACTTGTTTTCTGGATTGTTTTTGGATGTTGATGGATGATCTTTTATGAGAACCAAATGGTTCCCTTTTATAGCTAATTTGGGCTCCAAGAATTCAAAATTTGAATTCTTGGAATACCTCCATCTCAGAGCAAACATGAAAACAATTATGAAGGAGAAGAAAAACCTTGGAATATCTTCTTTTTTCGGATTGATTGAAAAGGGTGAGTGATAAATGGGGCAAGAAATTTTATTATATTTTTTAACATATATATATTTTATTATTTTTATTTTTATTATTAAAACTGTAGTTAAACAAATGTGGAGAACCAAAATTGGGTGTCAACAACTTGCCCCTTTCTTTGTCCATGGAAGAAAGTAGAGAAGACGTGGACAAAGTAACATTGACACGATCCAATTTTAGGCGACCCATTAAAATACACCTTGAGCAAAACTCGGCAAGAAATATTTATGGAGTTATGGCCGAACTCTGGTTTCTGAGTTGCTTACATATCTCTGGTTTCATGAGAAATCAGGCCATATATAGTTCGAGAGTGTAGGAACATAGCAAATTTTTGTTAATTTTTTTTTTGCCCAATCGAATTACGGTAATACTGAAATGTTTTGGTAGTGAGGTTTGAAGAAAATAGCACGAATAGAGGGACGATATATAGTTCTAATGAACATGAAAGAGAAATGCTCCGTAGCAATTTCTACTGGAGACTTATGGTAGAGGGATTTAAAAAAAAAAAAGAATTCCCCAATGTCGGGTTATAATGAAGTGAGACCTGAGAGATTTATCTGAACTTTTGAAAATCGAGTCGAGTTGAGTTTTGAAAGTGAATCCTTGACGTAGCTAGTGATGCTTGACATTGCACTAACTTGCCCTAGTTTACTGCTTAGAGGGAGTTCCTTGTTGTAATGCGTTGTCCTGCAAAACATGTAGAAAGGTGAAAAGTACATGTTGCGGTTCAAAAATTATAAATTGAAATTGGAATGTAAAGAGTAGAGTGTAGATGTCCAAACAATTGTTGATGTCCCCGTTTTTGTGTTGTGAATGTGATGTAGTTAAAGTAACTTGTAATGTAAAGGCCCTCGACTGGCAGGGTTTTTGTAATGTAAAAGCCTGTATCCGGCTGTGTAAAGCTTGTAATGTAGACCTCCACTTGGCGGGGCTGTTGTAACATAAAAGCCTGGATCCGACTGTGTAAAGCTTGTAACGTAACATATTATTGTTAACGTATGACAATGTCGCTATGCTTGCATGCCCCCGATCGGTGGAGCTTCGGTGATGTTTCTACGATGTTAGTCTCCGATTGGCGGAGTGTTGCTTCTTTTGCTTATATATTGGCTACGATTGGCGGAATTCGATCGATGTTTGCTATGTATAGCCTCTGGTTGGCAGAGTTCGACGATGTTTGCTATGTACAGCCTCTGATCGGTAGAGTTATTGATGAGGTTACATTACAAGCTCCAGTTGGTGGAGTTATTTTGACAGAAGCTAACTATCTTATTTTCCTACGAGGATCCTTTTTTCTTCAGTATTTGATCTGGATCTCGAGCGTACCTGCAAAAATGAAATGTTCTTAGATATAAGATGCAAGTTGAAGTACATTCGGGAAATAAAGTAGGGAAAGAGTATTTTGGCTTATGATTGTAGAAGTCGAATAGTGCCTCCGGTCGTGCCCCGAGATTTGATGTTATTTTCTTGATTCTTGTGTTCCTGCGCTCAAAGAAAAAAATTTAGTTTGGGAGAGGGTGTTGATTTGTATCGACTCGCGGACTGAAGCCTCGTCACTGGAATCTTTCGACATCTTCTTAGACTGCACATAGTTTCTTAACTTAGAGACTTGGTAGATGGAAGAGTAGAAAAATCTTTTGAAAAGAATTAGATTGTTTTTTTCTTTCTAGAAAATAAGTATATTACTAATACATTAGGTATATATATATATGTAGTAATTCTCCAGCATTTTTTAGATAATGACATGATTTGAAGTCCATCGAGCTTTCCATTTTGTTGACTATATCCAACATAGTCTTCTTGTAGCTTTTACCCTCATAATGAAGCTTGTCTAGCTCTTTTGCAGACCTTATGACGATCGATATTCTTCGTATTCTGAGGTTACGCTAACTATGAGGAAGTGTTTCCAAGGGGTGAAAAATAAAAATGGAAATTATGCAGTGCATTGATCGAGCCTAACTCAGGCTGCCTACGTATCCCCAAAATAGGAATTAGATCGTAATGTAGTTCGAATACAAGTGGGAGAAATAGAAGTATGTAATGCAATGACCGAGCTTGACTCAAGCTGCCTACGTATCCAAGTGGAATCAGGTCGTAACGTAGTTCGAATACAATAAGAGAGTGAAAAATATGAAGGAAAAGTAAGAAACTTGTGATGCAATGATGGATCCCGACTTAGGCTGCCTACGTATCCAAGCGGAATCAGGTCAGGACGTAGTTCAAATACAAGAGGGGAGAGTGAAAGATATGACATGAAATGATCGGGCCTGACTCAGGCTGCTTATGTATCCAAGTGGAATCAGGTCAGGACGTAGTTCAAATACAAAAGAAAAGTGAAAATATGAAATGCAAGGGACCGAATCCGACAAGAATTGCCTACGTATCCCATCGAGGGAATTCAGGTCGAGCGTAGTTCTAAATACATGAAAATGATGGTTTTAGGTTTTCTAAGGGAGACCGAATCCGATGTGGGTTGCCTACGTACCCCGCCATGGGAAGTCAGGTCTAAACGTAGTTCTGTTCCATCAAAATGCAAAAGTACAAAAAATACAGACTAATCTTGAAGTCTTCAGATGTAGTATTTCTTGATGGCGTCTGAATTGATTGGCTTTGTGCTTACTCTACCATCCATTTCTGCTAAGATTACCACTCATCCAGAGAGTACTCTATGAACCATGTAGGGTCCTTGCCAATTTGGTGCAAATTTCCCTTTGGCTTCTCCTTGGTGAGGAAAGATCTTCTTCAATATTAATTTCCCCGGTGTGAACCGTCGAGGTTTGACTTTTTTGTTGAATGTTTTGGTCATTCTGTTCTGATAGAGTTGTCCATGACAAACCGCGTCAATCATCTTTTCATTAATGAGTATCAGCTGTTCATGCCTACTACGTATCCATTCTGCATCAGACCAACCTCTTGGATAATCCTTAAAGATGGTATTTCTACCTCGACATGTATTACTGCCTCCGAACCATAAACCAACATATAAGGAGTTTCCTCAGTTAATGTTCTAATTGTGGTGCGATAACCGAGTAAAACATATGGTAGCTTCTCATGCCATTGCCTCTGACTGTCCACTATTTTCCTTAAAATCTTCTTGATATTCTTATTTGCAGCCTCAACTACCCCATTCATCTGTGGGTGGTAAACCAAGACCAACCTCTTGGATAATCCTTAAAGATGGTATTTCTACCTCGACATGTATTACTGCCTCCGAACCATAAACCAACATATAAGGAGTTTCCTCAGTTAATGTTCTAATTGTGGTGCGATAACCGAGTAAAACATATGGTAGCTTCTCATGCCATTGCCTCTGACTGTCCACTATTTTCCTTAAAATTTTCTTGATATTCTTATTTGCAGCCTCAACTGCTCCATTCATCTGTGGACGGTAAACCATGGAATTTCAATGAGCAATCTTGAACCTTTCACAAGTTTCCTTTATAAGATCGTTATTGAGGTTGGCCGCATTATTTGTTATGATTGATTCTGGAATTCCAAATTGACAAACTATGTTATTGCGAACAAAGTCTGCCACTACCTTCTTAGTCACGGCCTTGTATGGCGAAGCTTCGACCCGTTTTGTGAAATAATAGATATCCACCAGGATGAAACGATGTCCATGTGACGCAGGAGGTTCTATGGGTCCAATAACATCCATTCCCCAAGCGGCAAATGGCCAAGGGGAACCCATCTCATTGAGCTTATTTTGTGGAACCCGTATAAAATCTCCATACACTTGACACTGATGACACTTTTGCATATACCGGATGCTACTCTCTCCATGGTCATCCAAAAATATCCAGCTCTTAAAATCTTCTTTGCTAAAGTGAACCCATTCATGTGAGGTCCACATGTTCTTGCATGTATTTCTTCCAAAAGCCTTGTCGCTTCTGCGGCGTCACACACCTCAGCAATCCCAAATCCGAAGTTCTCTTATATAGGATTTCTCCGTTAAGGAAGAAATGATTGACCACCCTCCTCAAAGTCCGTTTCTGCTTGCTTGTAGCATTTTCAGGATATTCTTGTGCTTCTATCAATCTTCTGATGCCATAGTACCATGGTTTTCCATCCAGTTCCTCATCTACTTGAAAACAGTATGCATGTTGATTATGTATCTCTATATCTATATGGTCGATGTAATTCTTGTCTGGGTGTTGAATCATCGAGGATAATGTTACCAAAACATCGACAAATTCATTTTGATCTCAAGGGACATGCTTGAACTCAATCCTTGTGAATCTCCTACTCAACTATTTTATGTAATGCAAATAAAGAAGGATCTTGACATTCTTAGTGGTCCATTCCCCTTGCACGTGATGAACAAACAAGTCGGGATCTCCTATCACCAAGAGTTCTTTGATATTCATGTCTATGGCCATCTTGAGTCCGAGAATACAAGCTTCATATTTTGCCATGTTATTGGTACAGTAAAACCTAATCTTAGTTGAGATTGGGTAATACTGATCTGTTTCCGAAATTAAAACTGCTCCTATTCCAACTCCAATAGAGTTTGATGCTCCATCAAAGAACATCCTCCATCCATCATACGACTCTGATATGTCTTCTCCTATAAACAAAACCTCTTCATCTGGAAGTAGGTTGTGAGCGGCTTGTAATCCTGGTCTATCGGGTTTTCTGTGAGGTGATCAGCCAGGGCTTATCCTTTGATGGCCTTCTGTGTTACGTACATAATATCAAACTGGCTCAACAAAATTTGTCATTTCGCCAGTTTACCCATAGGCATGGGCTTCTGAAAGATGTACTTTAGTGGATCCATTCTTGAGATCAAGTACGTGGTGTATGCAGACAGGTAATGCCTAAATTTTTGCGCAATCCAATTCAAAGCACAACATGTTCGTTCCAACAAGGTGTATCTTGCCTCGTATAGTGTGAACTTCTTGCTCAAATAGTGAATAGCTTGCTCTCTTCTACCTATCTCATCATGTTGTCCCAATACACTTCCAAATGCATTATCCATGACATATAGATACAATAACAAAGGCTTTCCCAGCTCCGATGGGACTAATACTGGTGGGTTGGTCAAGTATTCTTTGATTCTATCGAAAGCCCTTTGACATTTCTCTGTCCATTTCGTGGCATCATCCTTCTTCAGTAACTTGAATATGGGTTCACAGATCACTGTGGATTGAGCTATGAACCGACTGATGTAATTCAGTTTTCCTAATCTTGGGTGGAGGTAGCTCTTGGATTGCCTTTATCTTTGATAGATCCAACTCTATGCCTTTTCTACTAACGATAAATCCCAATAATTTCCACGGGTATTCCAAATGCACACTTTGCTGGATTCAACTTCAGATTATACTTACGCAACCTCTCAAAGAACTTTCGTAAGTCATCTATGTGGTCTGAACTTCTTTTGGATTTGATAACGACATCATCCACATACACTTCAATTTCTTTGTGGATCATATCGTGGAAAAGGGTTGTCATGGCCCTCATGTAGGTTGCACCAGCATTTTTGAAACCAAATGGCATTACTCTTTAGCAATACACTTCCCATGAAGTGATAAACGTTGTCTTCTCCACATCATCTTCATCCATCAAGATTTGGTGATATCCTGCAAAGCAATCGACAAACGATTGCAACTCATGTTTTGCACAATTATCGATGAGTATATGAATATTTGGAAGGGGCAAATCATCCTTAGGTCTAGCCTTATTGAGATCTCGATAGTCCACACATATTCTGATTTTTCCATCCTTTTTTGGCACATGCACAATATTGGCTAACCATGTTGGGTAATTTGTAACCCTCACAATGTTCGCCTCAATTTACTTAGTTACCTCCTCTTTGATCCTTAAACTTAAATATGGCTTGAATTTTCTTGTATTTTGCATAACAGGTAGACAAGTGGGATCAGTCGGTAATTTGTGCGAGACAATATAAATGCTTAATCCTGGCATGTATGTCATCACAAGACCAAGCAAATACGTCAACATACTGCTTAAGCAATTCTATTAACTTTTGCTTTCTTTCAGCCTTTAAATGTATGCTGACTCGTGTCTCCTTCACAATTTCCTCATCTCCTAAGTTGACAACCTCTGTTTCATCCATATTGGGTTTCTTCTGACCTTCAACCTACTCGATCTCGTGTGGTACATTTTCCAGGATCATGCTTTCATCATACTTTTCATGATCTTGTTCATCGCTTTCACCTTGCTCGGTGGCTTCGATACATGTCATAATCGTTGAACGAGGATTTTTATTAATATGAGTTCTGAAAAGTGCAAAAGGTAAGTAAAATAAATAGATATTTAAAATAACGAGAAATTTTTCAAAAAAAATAAAGACTTTTTATTTCAAAGCATTATAGCTTTTAGAAGAGGCAAGCAACAAAAGAATAAGCATGATTCAAGCCTCAATTTGATCATGCGAATTTTTAAAAAAAATTAAGATAATAAATAGATATTTAAAATAACGAGAAATTTTTCAAAAAAAATAAAGACTTTTTATTTCAAAGCATTATAGCTTTTAGAAGAGGCAAGCAACAAAAGAATAAGCATGATTCAAGCCTCAATTTGATCATGCGAATTTTTAAAAAAAATTAAGATTACTTTTCCACACTACCAGGACTCTGGTTGAAATAGGGATGGGCTGGTGGGCCAATTCTGCAAGATTTTTCCAGGTTCAGCATCACGAATGGTCAACTTGTTGAGATTCACCCCTTCCTCTTCTCAAGCCATGGCCACGAACAGATTGCCTATTCCTTCTACGATATCTTCAACGATAGCATGATCTGGAATCAAAGCTTGTTCTGGTACAAAGATTGTATCATTTGACCCGTGACAGTCTCTTCCCGAGGGAGGCTCATATCCGAGTCCGTTGGTGCCTCTCTGGTGCCTCAGCTGGATCGGGTCAACTATGCCATTGGACTTAGGTTCAAGTCCATTCTTAGGCTGATATCCATATTTCAACATCCCTGACGCAACCATTTTCGCTGCACTTGACAACTTTGTATTACCTACCTTTGCTTCATCACCAACCCTAATATCTTGCATAATTTCCAAAGTGTGAAAGGTGGCTCCATCTAAATTGTCAGTGACTGGGATAGAATTAACAGAAAGGATGGGGTGACTGAGCTACCCGTGGATGGTAACTTCGGTGAGACCCCATTCAAACTTTACACATTGGTGATGAGTGGAAGGAACAACTCTTGCCATGTGAACCCATGGTTTTCCCAGCAACAGGTTGTAGTTGGATGATACATCCATCACTTGAAATAGGATGGGGAATATAGCTGGCCCCACCTGCAATGTGATAGTTCTCTCCAATGACACTTCTTTGCGCTCCATTAAAAGCTCTAACTTTCACACAACTTTCCCTTATCTCTCATATATTAACACTTAAATCCTTCAGAGTGGTGAGAGGACAGATATTGCATCCAGAACCACCATCAATTAGAACTCGAGTCACAACCTTATCACAACACTTGACTGCGATGTGAAGCGCTTTGTTGGAAATAAATTTTGTTAGCTTCTACTATTCTTCCAATCGTTGAAGCTAAGGTTTCACTGGTGGTCTCTTTTGGAACATTCACTCCGTCTAACACTTCCATCAAACCATTCCTATGAGCTTCAGACCTCATAAGTAAAGACAAAATAGATGTGTGGGCAGGCATCTTCTTCAGCTGCTCTTCGACTGAATAATCTTTAGGCTGCATCTTCTTCCAAAATTATACGGCTTCAACATCGGTAACATTCTTCCTTGGATTCTGTTCTTTTCAAATAACTCTTTGATTTAGGTCCTCTGGGGAATAACACATCCCTGACCTAGTCATCCCTTGAGCTACGACAGTGTCAATCATCTTTCCCTTGGCGCGTGCTCGATGTGTCCTGTCCTTGGATTCCCGAGTGGTAAGCGCATCGCTTGTTTCCATCAAAATTACGAGGGATTGGATCAGGAAGTTTTCCTTCAACTGGTTGGAGCACTCCTGCTATCCTCAACCCCTCAAACAGTTGGGCGTAGGGTTCGGTAATCGATGTGTAACTGTGAGCAATTCTAGCTTCAAGATTTGGACGTGGTCTCGGTGCATATGCTGGTCTATTTTGGTGGATTGGTGCCTGGACAGGGGTCTATTTTGGTATACTGGTGCTCGGGGTGGATTATAGTGTGGTTGGGTATTATATACTGGGTATGGGACGTATGAAGTATGCGCGGCGATTTGGGGATTACTCGGGTATTGGTGGGATGGTCCTCCTTGTTGGTAAGTGACAGCTGAAACATCCTCCCTTTTCTTTTTTATGCCGCCAATGAAACCCGATTGTATGGCCCTACTTGCATCTTACAATGCGATCATAGACTGAATTTCCCCAGATTTAACACCCTTCTTTATATAGTGTCTCATCCTGACCAATTATGCAAACTTCTAGCCCATCATTGACATTATCTTGTCGAAGTAGACACCTTATTAAGCTTGAATAAAGTACTTCGAGAGCTCACTCTAGTCTAGTGGCAGTTGCACCCTTGCGGCCTCAGTTCTCCAACGTCGTGCATATTCCTGGAAATTCTCAAATGGCTTCTTCTGTATATTGGCCAATGAGAATCTGTCAGCAATAATTTCAGTATTGAATCTGAAATGAGTCATGATGTTCTTATCCATTTCCTGCCAGTCACGTTATTTGCGAGGGTCTTGGCGGGTATACCAGGTCAATGCTCCTCCAAATAAACTCCGGACGAACAACTTCATCCTCAGCTTCTCATTTCTCCCGACACCGACTAACTTGTCACAGTTTGCCCTTAAATGTGCGTGAGGGTCACCTTTTCCATCGAACATGTCAAACTTCGGTGGTTTGTTCCCTACCGGCATGTCAACGTCTGGGTGGATGCACAAGTCATAATAATCCAGACTCTTCGTTCCTCTAGTAACTTGTAGGCTTTTCAATGCCTTTCTTAGAACTGAAGTTGGGCATTTATCGATGCATCTTTTTTCAGCTGGGTATCTTTCTCCAGTTTTGCAAATTGATCGACCTCATATGGGACATTAACTATTGCTGGCATAGTGAAGGTAAGAGCTCCAGCGGCATATACGGGTGGAACATGTGGCTCATAGGGAGCGGCGACATGTGCCCCTAGTATTTGCTGCATTGTAGGTATGGTAGGGTCGCGATTGGAAAAGTCGGGAACGGTCCTAACTGCGGTTGG